AAGAATAAGGAAGAAAAGGCCCAAAGAGTGTTCTCCACAAGGGGAGCTGGGTCCAGTGAAAAGGATACCTGTGTGTGAACCTCTTCAGCTATATAGTTGCACTGAGACTTTGGGAAACTCTTTTGCTTGGTTTTTACTGTCCTGCTAGGGGCTGTCACTCACTTTCCCCCAAAGGATGATTTTCAAACTAATAAAATCTGGTCTTAGTGAATCTTCCCCCAGGAGTCTGTTTATAGTGGTAGTAGGTTTAACAATTGCCTTGAAGGCATAGCTGGGAGAGCTGAGTCAGAACTGGGGTTCCAGATCAACCTCTAACTTGGCCCTTTGGGTTTTCTGGGGGTGAGGTGTGGTAGGGAGGCAGACGTGAGTTTTTCTGAATGCAGAGATACTTTTGACTGACTCAGCTGCAGAGAAGCTGAGGGTAAGATCAATCAGTCCTACTTGCAAGAGCCTGGTAGGTTTCCCTCTGTCCTGTGGACTCTCACCTCTCTCTTAGTCAGTCACTCAAGGGGCTCTGGTATAACACAACACAACACAACACAACACAACACAACACAACACAACACAACACAACACAACACAGCAACACAGCCCCCAAATTATCGAATTGATTATCCTTGAACCCATGAGTCTCCTTTCAAGTAGCCTTGGTGTGTGTGTTTCTAATATTATAGATTTTGGACTGGGGCTTGATTTTTTCTAATGAATGAGCTAAAGCAAACAAGAAAAATCAAAGCAATCGTCCTGGGATGTACTAATACAGGCGAGCCTGCGGTCTTGTTTCTCAGAAGCTTTATCTATTAGGCTCAAAGGGCACATCGGGATCTTCAGAATCTAGGTCCTAGATGTTGATATAACACAACTCTCTCCACAAGCCATCGACACGCCCTCACTTTCCCCTTCTCTAGGATGGAGACTTTAAAAACGACATTTCGATGTCCATGCTAAGTAAAACATGTGATTCCTTTTTGCATTGGTTCGTTGTTCCTGTTTAGCTATCTACTCAGTCTGCCCATCATGTAGCTCAATAAACACTTTAATCCTACCATGTGTGAAATTCTGGGAATCCTGAATTCAATATGACCCCTTTAAGAGCTTTTCACATTAGCATAGTGATCAAAAGCCAAGGTGGGTGTTATTGGTGGATTTTGCTCCCTTCCCCTCAGAGGAAATTTGGCAAATACCTAGGGATATTTTTGGGTGTCTTAATTTGGAAGGCTGTACCCCTGGCATCTGGTGGGTAGAGGTCAGGGATGCTGCCAAACATCCTACAAGCGAAACAGCCCTCTACATCACGATGGTCTGGCCCCAAATGTCCTCTGTGCTGAGGTTGAGAAACACTGCTCTATCCCAGGCGGCTCACATAGAATAAATGTTAGTTATGTTGGGACACGTCCAAGCACAGGGTATCAGAGTGAGTGTGAGGGGGCGGGAGGGCAGTGAAGAGGGGCCTCGGGGAAAGCTTCATGGGAAAGTGACTCCAAGTCATAATTTTTAATTCCTTGGTAGCCAGTTGTCTAAGAATGACTTTGATTGAAAGTTTATTTACTAAGAACTACATATTGGGATCCTCTTTTGCACAACCCTCTGGGAAGCTTTATAAAATATTTCTGTTGGTTTTATATTTTTTCCTTAAAAATTCTGCCAAAAACCTGCGATGAGCATGAAATGGAAGAATCCATTCAGCCTTATTCTTTGCTTCACAGCAAGGACCTCCATCTACTCTAACCAGTTTCTCCTTCATGGGTCAGCCTCTGGACCCTTGGCTCATGGAACCTTCCCTGGGAGTTTTCAATACACATTGGTTGGTCTTTCTCTGAGTCTCTTAGAGTCTCATTGCCTCTCTCCCCTTCTACACCAGTCACTTGGGTGTTTCCAGCACTATTGTGAACTCAGGACAGAGACTACATCCTCCCCTTGGACATTCCTCTAGAGCACTAAACTCTGTTCTGGACCCTGATTTCCACTGGAGGTGGGAGGAGAAAGACATCCAGGAAAGATGTCAAGAGACTCATATCATCCTGTGCATGTAGCATGTTATCCCTTCAAAGTCTCCAGATCGTGTCTTACAATAAAGCCTCAAAATTTAATCTCTGTTCAGTAGGCACAACATGCAAAAAATAAATTGCTATAATTATTATTAGCATTTTCTTACTAACAGACTTTTCCAGAAGCTGTTTCCATATCAAGCAGATCAACCTTTCTGTTGTCATAGAGACAAAGATCTTTATATAACTATGGGCAAGGTGAGATTTTTTTTTCCCTCTCCTTTCCAGTTGTCTGGAACTAATAAGGAAAGAAAAGGAAAATTTTAAAATTAATTTTTTCTTTCACATTTTTTTATTCCCAATTAAAAAATGTGAAACTGTGGGAGGCTATTTTTTGTATCACAGTTTAGATTTGAGATATTTAAGTTTTTAATAAAATATGAAAGGGGCAGAAAGATAAGAATGATTGAATGTTGCCACTTTCACAATTTGTAGGCATTGGGCTTATCATTTGTGATTGGATATAATCTACATTTCTTTAAAAATCAAATAGTGAGCTTTTGATAGCAGTCACAGAAGGTAAGGCTAGAAAGGCCTGAAATGATTAAAATATAAATTAGTATCTACTGAGAGGCTGCTGATGAATTCTCAGGTGTGGTACTCGCCTCCTCTAGCCTTCAGAATGGAGATTTTACTCCTGTCTGCAGAGTCAAAAACCCTATGGATTACTTTGTGCAGACAACATCCCTCTTCTCTGGAAGCCTTATTTCATAATTTCAACTCCTTTCTTTTTATGAACTCCTGATAACTTGTTATTCATAGTACTTTTTATCTTGTAATTACTCTTTAATGTCTCATTCATTCATCATCAAGAAAAGAGGATTTCAGCAGGAATTGTTGACTTTCTCTGTCCTTTGCCCCAATGCTGGGATAACCCGCCCCTTAAGATTAACCCAACGCCTTTGATCTTAGGCTGATGCTGTGCCCTTAGCCACTGAGATCTTCTCCATCAAATACTATTCCTCTCTGTATCTTCAGTCTGTCCTTCTCCATGGATTCCTTCCCCCATTGGAAACAAACAAAATTTTTCTCAAATCTTGTCTCTCTCTTGTGTTTCTGAATTTGGGGTTTTAATTTGATCACATCTGCATTTTGCAAAAAATAGGCATTGTGTGTGTGATGGGATGTCTCGAGAAGGCAAGCGTATGACAGTAAGAAGCTTACAAAATACTTTGTGCTCTTCAGAGGGTGACATCCTCTATGGAGAGCGATACCCTGGTTCTCAAACATCAGCAGGCATCTGAGCTTCCCACCCCACACCTCGCGTTCTTTCTTCCAAAAGGTTCTCTACTCAGGGCTAACTTTGGAGAAGAAAAACTTTCTTGCAAAGATAGCAAATTTAAGAAGATAATTAACAGATGAAAGCCCTGTTTTTACTATTCAAAGCTCTGAGATCTTGAGCAGGCTAGTCCCTCTCTTTGGATCTGTTTCTTGTGATCTGTGTAAGCACCAAGCAAGTGAGGAAAGCTGTCACATCGTTCACAAGAGCTAGATGGGAGGCTTGCCAGGAAGGACAAGACCTGTGACTTGGAAGGCAGTTTCTACAGATTTGCTGATTGATTGAGTGAAGCACATTCTGTCAGCACAGTCCTCACCTCCCGGGAATTGAACTGACAAGATAATTAATGGAACCTAATTAACAGAAATCCCCCAACCTTTAAACTGTATCTCTCAACTGCAAACATTCCCTGAAGGCCACTAGCTCTTCCAAGGGAGGCGCTCAGTCCCTCAGGAGAGAGGGGGGCTCCAGCAGTGAAGAGGGCCCCTGACAGGTTGCTGGGGGCCCAAGGAAATGGGGGTCTCTTTCCTCCCTCAGTGTGGAATTCCATCACCTCTAATGGCTAGAACATAACCAAGACCTCCAGCAGCCTGCGGCCTTTGGATAATTTTATAGTTCTCTTCTCCCCTCCACACCCTTTCTCTCCCTTCCCCACCCCTTTCAGTTTCTGGTTTAATAGCTTTATTAAGATGTCATTCATATACTTCACCCATTTAGTGTACAAAGCAATTGTTTCCAGTGTGTTTGTTCACTGAGATGTGCAACCACCACCACAATCTAACTTCAGACAAATATTATCCTGCCCGTGCCCCCCACCCCCAAGGCCACAATCACTGGTATTCACTGGGGTCTTTGCCTCAACCTGACAACTACAGATTTATTTTCTATTTGAACATTTCACAGAAAATAGAATCATAAACTTTGTGGTGTCTTAAATCAAAGAGAGGCGTCCTGGTGGTCCTCTTACCCATGAGCCCCCCATGACTTCTTCACCAGGTCCCTGCAGTAAACCACACCCCCCACTGCTTGCTGATACCACAGCTCCTGGAGCCATCTCTGCTGCAGGCTGGGTGGCTTGCCCATGGCACACAAGGCCTTTTCATTCATTAGGCAACCACATGGCAAAGCAAGTAGGTCTGACAATGAGACAGAAAAGCAAGTGGCCTGGGCTGGGTGGTGCAGAGGCGTCTATCCTCAGTGCTGGTAGGTGGGCACTGGTTGGTGGGCACTGGTGGCCAGGTCATCTGATTCTTTAACATAGTCCCTGAGCAACACATGCTACAAAACCACAGGCAGCCAGAACCCACAGTAACCTCTGACCTGGCTCAGCCAAGACTGAAAGACTATGGGAGGCTTCTCCTGGCAGAGACAGCTGCTGATTGAGGAGCATCACACCCAGGCCTCCTGCCCACAGCTGCAGGGAGCGAGTCCTCCTGCTCTGGCTTCTGGGAAGTTCCAAGCCCACTGCTTTGGCCCCAACCAAGGGGTACAGAACAGGGCTGGTGGGGCTGAAATCCAAGGCTCTGCTTGGGCTGGCAAAGAAGCCCCCCAAGCTTTGGAGAAGTTTGATTGGGGAACTGCCTTTTTCCAGTTTCTAGGCAGAGAAACCAAAGAGCAGGAGGGAAGGCAACCCAGAACGAACGAGGATCCCCCAGGAGGGGCTCCCTACTTACAGTAAGGTGAGGCCAGCTCGAGGGCCAGGGCACCGCAGTGCGCCCTGGGGCTGATAGCTGCAGGCCTCTGGGCAGTGCGCCCCGCGCAGCGCCTGGGGTGGCGCCAACAGCAGCAGCAGCGCCAGCGGCGGCCGAAGCTCGCGGGGCAGCCGCCCCATGGCCAGAGACTGCGGCTCTCTCAGCTGGGCTGGTGTCTCCGACAGCCGCGAAGCTTGGCCCGCGCCCCTCTCCCCGCCCCTTGGTAGGCCCTCCCACCCCGCTCCGGTCTCTCCCCTGCGCCCCACCCCGCCGGCACCCGGAGTCTCTGCTCTGCCTCCACCCGGGACAGAGGCCTCGGATCCTGTGGCCTCCTGTCTGCTGCTTTCCCTGTCCTGCCCTGCACATTGGCAGTTGACCCTACTTATGGGGTGGAAAGTGGTCCTGGGTGGATGCTTGAGCTCAGAGGGGGGCAGTTCTGACTTCTCATACTGGCTCTGCTGTGCCCAGAGTGTGAATGTAGGTTGTCTCTTCCCAGAACCTCTCATATTTCGCCTGTGAGAGGGGAAACACTAGCCACGTCCACAGCAGAAGGGGGTGTGAGTGCCCAGCTCAGGGCCCCTTCATTATCAGTCCCGAGTCCTTTCTGCTCTCCAGCTCCCTCCACACTACAGGTAATTTCTGGCCTCCCCATTTCCTTAGAGATTTCTTGGGTAGTAACTGCTTCCCCCTTATAGTGTAGAATTTGAGTCTGTTCTCTAGCTCCAGTATGGATTGTGAACTTCTAGAGAGTAAAGTCCAATCCAGATTTATTATTTTTGCATTCTTTTTGGCTTCTGCATGGTAAGTCCTCAATAAAGAGCTGTTGAGTGACTAAAATAATAGTATCCAGCAGCTGCCCCACTGGGGGACCCATCCAGGAGGTCTCCCTCACCTCATGCCCAATCTTTCAGTAAATGAGTCTCTGTCAACAACGAGAAAAATGTTCTGAGAGGCATCAGAATTCCCTGAAGCCACATAGCTGATGAGTATTGGCACCCTGTTTATTTCTTTTTATAAACAAACACCTACCTGAGAGGGTGGTTGCAATGTAGTTATTATTTTTTTTTTGTAACTTTTTTGGGAGGTAACATTGATTTATGTTACTGTTTATGGTTTAGGGGTATAGGTTCATATCACCCAACATCAAGCCCAGCAGCACACCCAACATCAAAGCACCCATCATGCTCCACCACAGTCCATTGGGTTTCTCACACTCTCCTTCCCCATCCCCCAGTTGTTTCCCTCTCCCCCACTCTACCCCTCTACCAGCTAGTAATTCTGCAGTTATATGTCTAGGGCTTGTTTTGGTTAGTTTTATCTGTTCCTTTGTTTTCTTTCTTTATAGTTCACACATGAGTGAAATCATCTGGTATTTGTTTTTCTCCTTCTGATTTCATTTAGCATAATGCCCTCTAGGTCTATCCATGTTACAAATGACAAGATTTCATCTTTTTTAAAAAATAGCTGAGTAATACTCCACTGTGTGCATATAGCACATTTTCTTAATCCATTCCTCTGTCCTTGGGCATTTAGGTTGTTTCCATAACTTGGTTATTGTAAGTAGTGCTTCAGTGACCACTGGAGTCCATAGATCCCTGTGAATTAGTGTTTTGCATTCTTCTTATAGACACCTGGGTGTGGAATTGCTGGGTCATGTGGTAGATCTATTTTTAATATTTTGAAGAACCTCCATACTGTTTTCCCTAGGGGCTAGAACAGTCTACATTTTCAGCAACAGCGCACGAGGGTTCCTTTTCTCCACACCTTCACAAACTCTTTTTTCCTAGCTTTTTGGACATGGGTGATTTACATAAGAATTTTTTTAGTTTGATGTAGTCCCTTTGTTTATTTTTGCTTTTTCTTCCAGTCCATGAGTAAGGAAAAGCTTTCCATTTCTTTGTGTTTTCTTCTAAATCTTTTAGCAAAGTCTTATAGTTTTCATTGTAAAGGACTTTTACATCTTTTGTTATTTGATGTTTTCCCTATTTATTTGATATTTGTGATATTGTTGTAAATGGGATGTTCTGTTGAGTTCTTCCTCTTCTGGATTCTTATTTGCATAGAGGGATGCAATAGACTTTTGTAGACTGATTTTGTAGTGTGCCATTTCACTGTAGTGATTTCTTATTTTTATAGTTTCTTTGGTGAAATCTTTAGGGTTTTCTATGTATGTATATTCTGTAATCTTCACATAGTGAATGGTCTTACTTCTTCTTCGGAAACCTGGTTGAACTCATGTCTGTCATCTACTTTCTCCATCAATTTAATAATATGTATACAAGGGAATTGGATATACTTCAGAATGCATAAGTTCTCTTATTAATTTCATCATTAAAACACCTTTATTTTCCTCCTTCCAAGAACTCTATTGAGAATTTGGAAACCTCAGAAGTCTTTCTGGAAGGTAGCCTTTGAGAACTGGAAAGGTGTACATTACAAGTAGGTAGTGAAAGAACAGATGTTCTTTCTTTCTTTATTGAAACCAGCTCTCCAGGGCACACTTGCTTAGGCACTAGACTGGACTCTCTTGCCCAAGGAAGGTACATTAAAAAAATATTAAAAAAAAATCGTTTGGCTCTGCCCACATTCATCTAGGTAGCATGAAATACAAAGCTTGTATCTATAATATTGTTGGTTTTTTTTTTTTAACCTAGATCCCTCTCTCCAACTGTTTGTCTGACTACATCTCACCATTTCGTGCCTCAGCATATGCTCTTCCCCTTACCTAGACTGATTTTTTTCTTTCTTTTCCATATTCTATTAGATAAATTCCTGGTGGTCTTTCAGGACTCACTCAGAGTGTCATTAAAGCTTTCTCTTATTCAGCCTAACTGACTAGTTCTTTAACACCTGATTCTGTAACCTATAATGTAACACATTTGTAACTGTGGCTTTAATTTTTTAAAAGATTTATTTATTTTTATACAAGAACGGGGTATAGGCCAGATGCGCGGGAGTGTGAGAGGATTCACCAGAGACAGATTGGGGAGCAGAACAGGCAGATGGACCAAAGTACACTGATGAGGGGAGCAGCGGGCAAGGCAGGAGAGGTCTGCCGCACCATGTGGATTTATCCCTGGCGGGCCGGGAATCGAACAGGAGCTGCAGAGGCTGCGGACAGCTTCACAGTGCTGCGCTTAACCCTCTGTGCCATCAGGGAGGCCCTGTGGCTTTAATTTTACTTCCCCTATCTATTTATCTCAGGGCTAAGACTTACCAATAGCTTCTAGGTCCTAGTAAGTGCTTATGTATATCTATTGAATTACAGAATGAGCAAACGAAACCCACAAACAGACCCATAGCAGATGCTCATTAAATCATCTGAGAAGAGCTTAAAAGCCTTTCCAGGTTTTGTCTCAACCACACTGGATCTAATCTGAATATCAAATAATTACCCACAATTACTTTGGGATCACATTTTTCTCTTCTTCTGGCTTTGTCAGATTTTGATAGGGAATTTGTCTTATCATTGGGTTTTTAAAATGTTTCCCCCAATGTAGCCTGGATTTTAAGAGAGAGGAAGGAATAGGGTGGCTGAGTGGCAATTATCAATACTTCAAGTCTTAGGTTTTTTATTTTATTTTTTTCTATTCCACTCACACCCAAAGATACATTTGATTCTGTGCTTTGGTATCCATGAGTGCTCCTGATACTCTAGTGAGAAAAGGACTAGACAGGACTCCTGGATTTTTCTTCCTGTTCTGTTATCAGGTATGACTTGGTCTTGGGTTTCCTCCTCTGTAGGGAAAGGAATAGGAGTTAACATTTCCTAAGGCTCCTCTAGCTCTAAATTGCAGGACTTTGTGGGCAATTTTATTGTATTGCAGTGGGAACAGTTAGATTATGTGCATTGTTTTCTAATTGCTTGTTTTGATTAGAAACAAAGTCCTGTTTTTAAAGGGGTGAAGTTGTTTGCTTGGAAGAAAACTCACAACTCTATTGAGTTTATAAAATTTTGCAATCTATGATTAATTTTAGTTGCATCTTAATTATCATGTCAGTTCATGAAGTGTACCCATTATAACGATACCACATTGTATTGTTTGTTACAACAAAAGTCTGTTACAATGGCATTTACTTATCCAGTGCATTAATAGGTGACCTGTTTAGAGTGAATATATTTAAATTTGAAGGTCTTCTGTGTCATGTAACTATTTGTATAGCTGCTTTTGTCACAGAACTTTAAAGGAACTTGGTCCACAAGGATTGCTAATTATATTTTACTGACAAACTAAAGTTCATGAACTTTACAGGAAATTTTTCTTACCTTAGTGATACAAAAATATCTTACACTACAACTCAGAAATCCCAGTAATACTCTAAAATTCTAGAATAGGACTTTTCATATTTAAGGGTATACTAATATTACTTGGGAAGCTTTGAAAACAAAGGTTCCTGGGACATTCTCCATAAATAGATTCTGACTCAATTGATATGGAGTGGCAACCATAGTCTAATTTTGTATTTCTTTTATGGCGAAAAAAATTATATTTAGAATTAGTCAGCTGGACTCAGTTTATATAATCCCAATTTTGTTGGCTACATCCAAAGCATCTCAGGATCCAGTGGAACACCTGCCACCTTCTCTCTATCAGGTCTGATCAGGGTGTTGGCTTTGACCACATCAGTGTCATAGAGCTTCTTCACAGCCTGCTTGATCTGGTGCTTGTCGGCCTTGACATCTACAATGAACACAAGTGCTTTCTATCCTCTTCATGGCTAATCAGTGGTCAGAGGGAACTTGATGGCACCATTGTCCAGCTTGTTCCCTTGGGAGCATGCTTCTGAGGATATCTGGGTTGCCCTTGGTGTCATAGTGTCTTGGGCCTCTGAAAGTTGGGTGATATATGGAGCTTGTGGCTATAGATGCCTTTCAGCCCTACTTTCTTGGCCTTGAAATCTTTTGCTTTGGAAAGGGCAGGGGCTTCTTTCTTTACTTTCAGTGCCAACTTCGTGAGAAGGCTGTCATGTAATTTTGATGCATGGGGTTCCCAGAGCGTAATTTGTGTAGCACTAAAATGGAAATCCTAGAATTAAATTTGCCTTGGGAAGTGAGCGCTCAAGAATCCTTAGAAATAAGGACTATGGGTGAAGCCTAAGATTTTGTATGCATGTGGTTTATGTAAACACGTGCTTCAAATAGTAGGTTGTGTGTTTGTCAAAAATTGC